TAGGACAGAGAAACAGGATAGAAAATACAGAGGCAGAATTATCAACTCTAAAGCATTAGAATAAAGACACATAGTGTTCTATATATTATAATACATAAGGGTGTTACTGTATGCTCGGTATAATAATTAATTACCATAATGATGACTGAGCATAAAGAAAAGATTAAATTATGCTTCATATCCATGTACTAAGGGGAGCATGTAATAGATTTTAGAATGGTTTATCTCAAAATTTGTTGCACATTATAAAAGGCAAGAAACTCAAGATAAATTTAAGGTACACTAGGAAAGCATATAAATAAGTAAACAAATAAGAATTTTCAAAGGCAAACTAGGACAGTGTTAATTTCCCCATGTAAGGTTGCTGATAAAACTAGTAAGCAAAAAAAAAATTCTCAAAGATATTTGCTATGTTAAGCGGTTTGGATTTCATTTATGTCTTAGCCAAAGACAGAGTATCAGCAGGAAACCTTCTTTTAAACTGAATGTGTGTGTAAAGTCAGAAGGAGTAATGTAAGCTAACAAATTACTAGCACTACTTTTGGCAGTATCCCAGACTTTTCTTGAAGTCCTCCACTGACACACTAAACAGCATCAAGCCCCAATTATCTTGTGAATCCTGACAGCTCCAGAACACATATGGCTGTATGATTTCTTGGAAAAAATCTATATCATCTTCCAATTATAAAAATAGTAATACAGCTTTTTTCCAGGAAAGCAACCCATTTGGGCTACAATACAGCTATATATGCATTTACTTAAATACATATTACAAGATGAACTATAAAACCTATTTTACTCTCAGTTGAGGAATTTTTTTAAACCAAATTCTGTTTATAAACTCTATGTATTGAACATTTCCATGGTAATGGAGACACATTGAACTCCACAAGTGAACTCTAAAGAATTCTATCATATAACACCTAATGGCATGATGGTGGCATTAAAAATGTGGAGAAAACAATATGCTTGCAACAAGAAGGCATATTTTTATTACAAATCAAGAATGCTGATCATGACAGAGGAGGAAGAAGAGAAGAGCAGTAGAAATGGCAGGTGGAAAAAATGAAACAGTATGAGTAAATGATTAAGACACTGATTGACAAACCACTGAGGGGATGAAAAAATGAGACATTTTTAAAAATGAAGACAACAGAACAAGCCACAAACCCAAGTATGATGCTACAGATTGGAGAAATCTCATGGCAAAATGAATATCTGATATATGTGTATCATCTCAGCTAGGAGACTGAATTGAACAAAAAGCATCTGATAATTCAATAAAGAAAATAATGGCCTTTGCTTATACAGTGAGGCAGGAAGGTGAAGCAGATAGAATCCTAGCTAGTGAGTCTAGAGATCTAAGTCCCAGCAACCATTTGTGCTAACTTGATGAATTTTCTGATTCTCAATGTCAGTGTTTCCAACAACAGGAAGAGGATTCTTACTATGAACACAACCAGACAATAAGCATAAGACATGGATGGCAAACAACGATCTCTCTTCTCTCTCTCTCTCATACACACACACACACACACACACACACACACCCTTTCCCTATACTTTGCCTTGGGTTGAAAATGATTACACTATCAGAATCACTTCTTTGATAACTAACCAATCCAGTAATGTGTTTTCATTTGTATTTTACAATGTAAGACTCTCCAAGAGTGATTCTTGTAGAAAATACGCACAAAGTTGAATTTCTTAAGTCCTACTTGAAAGCTCATTTGCACTGTTGTAGCTCTCCAGAAGAAAAAAGGTTTTTTAAAATCCCCCTTATTCTCTGGCGGCTAATCATTAAACACCACTATAACTGCCAAAAAAATCAAACTTGTGGAAGACTCAAGGTGTAATGGAAAGATACATGAAAGATATCAAACTGTCACACATTTCTAAGAATAACATGTAAGAAATGGTATGAGGTAACATCACGCAGGAAGTGTACGGTCAGAAAGGGAAGCAGGATGATCACACAGTGAAAAGAAAGGATAACAAAATGGATGGCTAAGTGTTACAATGGTATCTAAAGAATTATAAGTCCTATAGCAAGGTCTAAGATGCACTGAACAGATCATCTGAAGAATTTAAAGGAGGAAATGGAAAAAAAATATATAGAAAAAAGACATGGGCAAGTTCAGTATGTAACAAAGTAGAAAGGACCAGCATTAATGAAAACACAGTGCTCAAATACTTAAATAGTCATCAGTTCATCAAGGACACACATGGCCATACAAAGAGGTGGTCCATTCATGTAAAGGGAGGAAAAGCACAACTTGCTAGATGAATAAATGCTATGCTGGTATCTAAAAAATGCCAAATGATAAAGAAGATGTCTCCACCTGCACTGGGTAGGTCCCCTATGGAGGATGTGACATGAACAAAAATATCTGGAATGAGAAGGCAATGGATTGTGATTTAAACCAGTGGGAGGAATAACCATAATGATTATATCATGGATGGAAAGTACAGAGTAAAGGGGAACTCACTGGACAGCCTATCAGTGAAGAAAACTCACAATTCAAGTAGACTAAATCTACTACCAAAATCCATTTCATCAAGCATTTATCAAGTATCTCTATATGATCAGGATTGTGCTAGAAGATGTTGGAGGTTAAAAAAAAATCAAGGGCAAAGTCCCTCTCCTCATTGAACCCACTATCTATGAGGGCAGAAAACTGGCACATGAAGCAGATAAAGATAAGAAATACACTCCTGAACACTTAAATGAATGGTAGAGACAATAATTAAATATTAAAATAATGAATATGAAAATTAAACATCTGAAAGTTATTACAGATAATAAAACAAGTTATTCAGCTAGCTAGGGCTACTGAGTGAAACTGATAATTTAATAGCTAATTAACTAGTTATTAAGAGAACTAGTTATTACCAGAAAGGCAAGAGGAGTCAATCCAAAGGGGTTTTGAGCTCGGGGGAAAAAAAATCATGGATTCCTATCCTATGAAATTAGAGAAACTATATCACAGAAGTCTTTAGGAAAGAGTTCTAGTTTACATACTCAAACAAAGAGAAAACAGCCACTGAAGAAAGTGAGGATGGCTGGAAAAGCCAATTTAATGAAAATATAACACATCAATGGCAGTTTCTTGCATGCACAAACCCATAAGAGTAGCAGTCGGACACATCAGTCAATGTTATGGAGAAAAGCGCATAAAAAACAAAAATAATGAAATGTTCTGTTTTTAAAAGCTCAGACTGAATAAACTAATCAAGTAAATATATTTTTTAAAAAGACAGTATATCATGTCCTAGAAAGAACATTTAACTGGGAATCACAAAACCCAGGTTCTACTAGCACAACCAATAATGAACTGGTCTTCAGTTTTCTCTTCTGTAACATGAAGAAGCTGGACTCAACGATCTCTTAACATCTCTTCCAGACCTAATTTTGTATGACTCTGAATGAAAAGGGGTGCCTTAGAACTGAAAACTATTATTACATATAAATTTAATACATTTAAAAAGTTAGTTTTTTAGTTCTATTTCTCAAATAGCATCAGCAGTCACGTGGACGAGTAGGTGAACTTTTTGAATAAGAATATACAACTAAAGTTTTGTTCAATTTTTTAAAAAAAGATATGTCCCTTTAAATGGCAACTGATTTGAAATCTGCATGAAGCATGTTTAATATCTCACTTTTGCTTTCAGTGGTGGGATGGAGGAGGTTATCTTTGATGTTCTCTCTAATCCTCTTACACTTTTAAAAAATAGATTTTATTGCTATCTAATGTACAGAGATTGAAACTTACACATTACAGGATCTATTTAATTCACTGCAGACAGATGAGGGAGGTCAAGAAAACTCGATATATTATTGCCTAACCTTAAGAGAAAAACTCCACAAGTTGTTTTCTTGTTGTTGTTTTAACTCAGTTCTATCACTGCTAAAGGAATAACTCTCCCTAAAGTAATTTAACTCTTAGACCCAGGATAACAAGTATTAAGTAGCTTTATGCACTGCCAAATACTGTATTCAAGTATAACTTAAGAGACTGCTAGGGACTAAGAATATTATGGGAGTGGGGGGGATGAAGTGGGCAGTTCTTGAGAGAATAGTCAGTAATGATTTGAAAACAAAAGAAAACCAAAAAAAAAAAACAACACCTGTTAATTCCTTTGATGGGAAGCCTAAAAGTCAGCCAGGTAGACCAAATCACATGTAAATTTATGATGGGTTCAAAGTTTGAGAACAGTAACCAAAGTGATCTGGTTTTTGTCTCTCCCTTCTTTGCACTTTTCCCTTTATTCTCTTTGCCTACTTATCTTTCCCTTCCACTCTTACTTTTCTTTACAGTTTAACCTTTGTGGTCTAGCATTCACTATTCCATCATGCTACTGTTTCTTACCCAATTTTACTGTTGCATGTATCAAAGTTTAGCTGTTTTCTCTTTAGGCAAATCCTAGGAATAAGTCTCAGAAGATCTATATGTAGTGGTTACTGATCCAAGAACCAGAAGGAACAAGTGGGTCACCATACATGTATGCTACTTAGAAGGGCTGGCCAACAGGCATACTATATATAGGCAGTCGGAACGACTAAAAGTGTCAGGAAAGCTAAGCAGAGATTAGATTGACCAAGCAAGATATATATCAGGGCATACCAATCAAAGGGTTTATCCAAGATTTATGATCACACTGGCCTTTAAACACAAAGTAAACTTGGTGACACATTCTATTTATGGTTCACTATGACTTTTTTTCTCGGACTTAAATGTACCCCATTGTTTCGTATTAGGTTTTTGGTTTCATTTCTCAACTAGAATCAAGCAAGCAGGTGAATTCTGACTCAGGATGTACAAACTGAAGTTCCGTCCAATTAAAAAAAAAAGATTTCCATTTTGGCACCTCTGATTTAAAAATTTCATGAAGCATGCTGAATATCTCGTTTATGATTATATAATCTGCTTTCATCTCAAGTTGTGAGTTGTGCTTTACTAAGCAATATTCCATTACAGACCATGGTATACAGTTTTTACCTTTCGAACTGAAGCCAAACGATTCATCATTAAAGATTCTTCTCGGTCATCATCATCATCCAAATCTAGCATAGGCATACTGAAGGTATCGATGATGCTACAGCACCTGGAGCTCTCATCTCTTGGATCAAAAGGATCCACAATGATGGGTTCAGTTCCTTTTATTTCACATCTGCAGAAAGGGCAGCCTTGACCATCTGATTCCTGAACAAAAGAATAAATGGATCATTGGCCTTTGCATAACATGCACAATTATGGTAAAGTTCTATTGTTGCAAAGGTATGATAAAATCTATGTATTTCCAATTTCAAAGACAAATCCCGGGGAAATAACAAAGTGTCTAAAGGCTTTGATGTTTTTTAAAAAACAATCAAAAGATCTGAGCTTCCAAATCTCTGAGCTTGGAAGGTTTTAAGTAACTAAAACATACTTCTATACAGTTACTAGAGAAATTAGACAAAAAGATGGGAATCTTACAATGAACCAAGCTGTAATAATAGTAATGACCAATAATTTTAACATTTGATATGGAAAGTCTTCCTATTTATAGTATAAGTCACATTCTAAACATATCAACTTCCAATATCTAGGCCTATTTAAATTTTGACTTAAAAGGAAACACTGGAAGAACAAAGAAATAGGATTTCAATTTCAGAAACCATGGCAATCATAGTTCCAGAATTCAATGCCTGTTGTCTTGACATACTCAACTGGGAGGTAATGCTGCATAAGCTGACATTAACCTCACTTCAAATCTTACCTTTAAATAAGAAATTCCAAACAAACCTACTGAAGTATTTCTGAGAAAGGGTCAATTTCGCTAGGAATTGCCAAATTTTTTTTTGTCTCTAACCTATTATATTCATCTTCTACAACTGATTGAAGTTCACAAGAGGCAAAAGAATAGAAGAAGTCCTATGCTAACTTATAAAAAGGCTACAGCCTTGAAACAGGTGGCAAACTTTAATCACCCTACTACATGAGGAGAAGGGAATGCAGGCAACTTTTCAGTACTAAATTCAGATGCAGAGATACATAACAATTTTTTTTAAAACACCATGCCTTCTAGGCAGAGACAATAATAATCATGTTCATATTAAAGATAGTAACCTTAAGGCCTACAGACACTGTACCACATTAAAGAAACTAAAGAGGTGGTAAATTGGTTTAAAGATTCACTTCTATATTTATCCTAGGACTTCACTTGAATAGTAATTTTTTTTTCCTTTTTTAGCCATAGCTTGGTCACTGAAATGGAATTTGAACATCCCCCGTTCAGAGTAAGAAATCATTTTCTCTTGAGTTTACTGCTAACTGGGGCAAAATAACATTCAGGATCAAGTGCACTCCTTAAAAAGTATTTCTGCTACACCACAGTGCTTCACTCACTCAAGCCAGCTCAATTCTATTCACACACTAAGAAATATAAGGACATAATATCACAGGCTTTTGTTGGAAAGTTCAGTTGTTCTACAGATATGAAGCATTTACTACATAGTTACTCTATTGCACAGCAGAAAGCACTGACATTACACAATGGCAATGACTTTATTATATATAGAATATGTCTTTATAATAGTATTTAATCTAATGGGAATTATCTACATCATAAGGTTTTCTCTGGGAACTGCCTATGTTTTTGTGAAATTCAGTGAAGACATAATTTAATAGATTATCAATAGAGACATAAGTATTAGATTCTGTTGAATGACTGACTAAACACATATACAACAAAGAATGGGTCAAATGTGTGCCTCTAGAAATTGTTGTTTGTTTTTATTTTTAAATGATGCTAATTACCTGTACTAAACCTGTACTAAAAGCAAATCAATTTACACATCTGGTGAAGCAGATGTAACCCTGGTGAAGCCCAGTAACCATTCCTCTTTTATAGGGATTCATTTCTGCAATTCTATTTTTGTTGTAAAATTTGTTTCACTTTATGACTTCTGGTGACCATGAAACAAACTGGTGATCTTTTAACCCATCTGGAGTTTTACTACTGAGTCTCCTTTTAGGTTTGTGTCTTTTGCTTATGGTTCCTGAAATGATCACTATTTTTATTGTTATAGTCTATAAAGAACAGGTTTAGTATTTTTGGTATTTACATTTATCTGAAATTTCTGTCAAAGTGCTATGTGGTATTGAGAAACCACACACACACACATAACACACACACACACGTATAATTTTACTGGTGCCATTTAGAATAATATCTTTTAGCTATAATTAATCCAGAATTTTTTTAAATCTTTTTTAATTCATTTTGTTTCTCATTCTGTTAGATTTGTCCAACTCTGAGAAAAAAACATTAAAGTATCCTATTATGATGTTTTGGCTATCTATCTTTTTCAATTTGGTTATTTTTTTCTTCATGAATTTAAATGATATGGAATTTGATGGATATGTTTAATGTTGATATCAGTGTGTTGTTTACAATTCCTTTAAGTATAATGTCCTTTCTTGTTTGATTCGTGTTTATACTGTGAATTTTTATTCTCTCTTTGATAGGAGACAAAGAAAATGAAGATTATAATTTGTCTTTTTTCTGGATCCATCTGATGCATAGTCAATTTTCTTCCAACCTCTCATTTCTATTTTATACATTTTTTAAAGATATATTTCTTTCAATCAACAGATCATGGGATTTTACTTATCCAATCCATCACCCTCTTTTGTCTTACTGGATTGTTTAATCTATTCACATTTAAAATTTTGAGAGATAAGTTTATGGGTTCCTTCCTTTATGTTGCTAGTACATTTTTTTTTAAATTAAGGTCTTTTTATTTTTTGTTCTCATTCTCTTTTAAGTCAGTGTACCTTGTCTCTATCATTAGTTTCCTTTAAGCTACTTGAATGTAACTATTCCCACAGGCTCTGCCCACTCCCACCTGCCTTTGTCAACCTTTTCCCTAGTTTTGGTGTTGTATATGACTTATTAATTTTTTTTCTTTTATTAAGTTATCCAATTCTTCCTTCTTTCCCCCTTCCCTTCAAAACCACTCCTCCTCTTCTCGTATTACTTCCATTTTCTAGTATTATTTTATGTACTTTTTAAAAAAAAGGATTTCTTTATACTCTTTATTTATGATCTTTCTATATCTTTAAAAAATTTTATTCTTTGATTCATGGTCCATAAACTTATTAATTCTGACTTTATTCTATTTGTTTCTCACTGATTTAAAGTTTCTTAAGTTTCATGTATGAGTTCATTCTTCTAACATATTTCTGTTGTTGCTTTTTTAGATCTTGTCCCTTCACCTTTTCTCATCTGTAGTATATCATTCTTAAAAGTATCATTTATGAGGTTAATAATGAGGTTGTAGAAACATTGTCTCATGGTAGAAATGTTCACGTGTTCTAAATTGTGTGGTCCACTTCTATATCCTGCCCTCTCCATGATAATTCTCCTTCCTAAATACCATGCAGTCCCCTCTCTGGGTCCAGATTCTCCCATACTTGTGGATGCCAGTTGCCCCCAGGAGATGGGACTTCTCTTATTCTAAGGAAAGATGTTTTATATGAAGGCTCAACAGTCTTTCAGAGGAAGTGATCTACTATGCACAAATTCCTTCAGACTGGATTCATAAGGTTCACCATCTTCCAAAAAGGAATTTACTAGTGGGACCTCTTCTCTGAATTGGGTTGAAACTTTCCCCTTTTTATCCCCTTATTTCAACCCTTCTCTTTGTTATTTGTCCAATTTTTCCTATAATCCCTCTCTCAATGACACTATAAGAGTTAGCTGACTTTGATTAATCCTCTATAGACTTGATTAGGGTACATCATACATTCTCTTCTAACTTTCACATCCCTACTACTCTTTTGTTTAACCTTTCATTTTGCAGTTTAGTTCCACAAAATACAATGATTCAACTATGGGAGTGAAGGGAAGGTAAGTTTTAGTTTATAATGTTTCAAATCTACTCTTCTACCATTTTTACTCCAATTTTTTAAATTGCACTTTCATCTTCATCTATTTCTCTACTTTTAAGAAGAAATATTTTAATTGTCCCTCTGTTGTTATTGTTGCTTTTGTCAACTTGTTTTTTAATATGCCCCTTTCCCCCCACCCCTTTTAATGACCTCTTGATATGGGACAATTTATTTTGTCACTTGTACTTTTTTTCTTGCCTTGGTAGCTTTACTTACACTTCCTGTGTTTCTGTTTTTGGGACTGTTTGCAAGTTGAATAATATGCTCAGATTTTTTGGTTGGGGGGTGGGTTGGAAGAAGAAGACTTTCAACTTGCTGAGTACATGACCCCCTAAGTTTTGGCAATGATTTGAAAATCAACAATCAAAAAATATTAAGCAAAAATTCAACCCATTATGTTCAGGAAAAATAACTCTCTTTTCATATAACTTACGAATATGGACATGTTACTTATGTCAAATTATGTTGGAAATACTAACTCATATCCACACTTGGACCTGAGTATGAACATATTCCTTTTTCCTTTCCAAATGAATAAGACCATCACTAAAGTCATCTATTAAGTTTTAAAGTAAATACAAATACTAAGCATCCAAATATTTGAGGTAGAACTCTACTAATGACAATATCCATCAAATCCTGAACACACTTGGTACCCTAAGCACAATCTAAAGTTCGTAGAAGTTTGCAAATTCACAGTGCCCTTTTTTTTTTTGGCTGTGCAAAGGAAGAAATGATGGGGAAAAGTACATACTTTTTAAAACCTCTACTGTGGAGAAGAAAGGACAGCACCATAAAAACAAATTCATTCTCAAAGTCAAAAGAAATATAGACTAGACAACCAGGAAAAACTTTATTTTATCACACAATAAAAATATATGTTTTCATATACTTTTCCTTTGCAATAAAAGGAGTAAGAACAAAAGACTATACAAGTATTGCTACAATATGTTAATGAGCCATCACCTGAGAACCAAGGGCCAGACAAGAAACTGTGAGGGTCAAAAGATTAAAATAAACACAGAAAGTCCTATTGAGTCATTGTGGCACAGAGATGACCCTGGGTTCAATGGCTACAGTTGCAGAAAACAACTTCTGTCAATATGTTCACTAAGCTGGAAAATCTTCAGCTATGAACCCAACAACGCACTGCCTCTTTCACTGAATGACTAGGCCACCTAGGTTTGGAGAAGTCCATTAACAAAGGGAGCATAGCACGAAACATTTCAGCCGCAGCCATTGTGGAGAATTATCTAACAATCCAAAGA